TTACAATTGCACTTAAAAATATACACACGTATATTCGTCTCATAGGGGTGAATGTTAGCTCCTCCTTTGAACGCTCTACACAAAGATCAAATGAAAAGATCCTCTCTGATTGGGTGTTGGATTGTGTTATATATTGTAGTGATGTTGCTCAGTAGTGTCTGACATGAGTGTATTTGTTGTATCTAACTGTAAAGGGGGTTCATGTCAGACACGACCACCGTCTCCCCCCTCAGCTCGGTCTCAGTGAACCAGCAGCAGCTCATCCAGCCCAGCGCACATGAGCGCGTGTGTCCAGGATGTTCTGAGCGCCGATTGGACCAGAGACGCTCGAATGATCCGTCTGGAATTTACACTGAAAGAGAAAATGTGTCTCTCAGCACGTCAGTGGAGGCAGAGGATGGTTTGCGGGCTGCTCGTTATCCAAAATGGAGCTGAACGGATCTGGAGGAAATAAAGTTATCCGGGCTGCGGACGTGACAGAGAGCCGGGAAGAGTAGCCACAACCTGGGGAGTGTGAGTGTGAAATATGTGTCATGTTGGTGTAGTGGGCCTGTGGTGCCCACACAGCCTGCCACCCGTTATCCGCGACCATTCAGTGCACAGGCGACACACGCTCTTCCACAGACCGTCTGTGCTCTCATTTCTGTCTGTTGTCCACATGTTATGATGAATTGCTTCTACATATATGCGCTATTAGAAAAACACGCGCCCCCTGACGACGCAGATCAAAGCCTAAATACATATTTTAATTCAGAGATATGTTCTTGACATGTGTGTTAATGTTTCATGTCGATGCAGACACGTGATTCTGTGCCACACCACGAGCCTCCTGGTTGTCGGATTTCATCATGAATTATTAGTGTTGATGTTGCACTGCTCTCTATCTTGCCTAACCCGTTTCTCAATCAGGATCAGAGCAAAGAGCAACAGGTCCAAAACCAGGGGTGTGTTAAACAGACCTGTCTTTACATCCAGGTGTCAGATTGCGAGGCTCAGTGGCCCCTCAGTGTGCAGTTGGATCAGCTGAGACAGCAGCAGTGGAGATGGGTGGTGGAGGCCAGCTGAAGGAGCCAGGGGAGCCAGGGAGAGCTGGACGTCTCTACACCTGGGAGGAGGTGCAGTGCCACAGCAGCAGGAACGACCTGTGGCTGGTCATAGATCGAAAAGTTTACAACACCACACAGTGGGCCAAAAGACATCCAGGAGGGTTTCGTGTCATCAGCCACTACGCTGGACAGGACGCCACGGTATGCTGGTTATTTTCTTAAAACATTTTTAATCTTTGGTCAGACTCATTGAGATTTTCAATTCCTTTTTCTTTTTCACAATCAGCAAATAAATACATGAACATGAAAAAGTGATGTAACGGTATCTCTCGATCATCAGTGATGTAACATGGATGATCGGGTGTTTCAGGTCTTTTTACATCACACACCCTCGCCCAGGCTGGGGATGAGTAGCTTCTGTGGTCCACAGTTTGCCCTGATTGATCCACAGCCATAGAGATTATTTGAATTAAAACAATAACAAGAGTTGTGAAAAAGTTGTGATAATATAAATTACATTAAATATCACCAAGGGGAATGTTAGACTTTTTTCTCTTTACGTGCAAACGTTTGGGGATATCTAAGTTGCTGTAGTTACTGGATCATGTGCTGTAGAGACCAGTTTTAAATGAGAGGTGAGGTAGTTTGGAAGTTTCATCACTCGAGCTTCAAAAAGGAATAACATGAGAACGCTACAATGAGTGTGTTATTTGTGATATAAGATAATAGGGGTTATTCTATATTTTTGAGGTTGTGGTGCTCATAAACGTCAGTAGTGAAATGCCGCTTCTCATTCACTGCATGACACACAGGATTCTCTCCATCTTTCATCTTTTCCAGGAGGCATTCATTGCTTTTCATCCCGATCTTAAGTTTGTGCAAAAGTTTCTGAAGCCCCTGCTGATTGGAGAACTGGCTGCAACAGAGCCCAGCCAGGACCACAACAAAAATGTGAGCCCCATCCATTGGCTGCAGTCTGAACTCAGATTGTTCTACTTAATTCAGAAACTTTTACAAACGTACTTCTTTTTTCTTTTTTTTTTTCAGGCAGCACTCATACAGGATTTCCGCACTTTACGTGTTCAGGCAGAGAGCGAGGGTCTGTTTCGAGCCCAGCCCTTGTTCTTCTGCCTCCAGCTGGGTCACATCATGCTGCTGGAATCCCTCGCCTGGCTCATGATATGGCACTGGGGAACTAACTGGATATTGACGTGTCTCTGTGCAGTCATGATGGCAGTTGCTCAGGTGACTGGAACATCATCATCATTATCATCTCTCGGTCTAAATGTTCCCAATGACGTCCACCTCTGCAGCAAAAGAACCTTCTAAACGCTTGTCTTCTTTTCATGTAGTCACAGGCTGGCTGGCTGCAGCATGACTGTGGACACCTGTCTGTCTTCAAGAAGTCCAGCTGGAATCACTTGTTGCACAAGTTTGTCATCGGCCATTTAAAGGTTGATTGATGTTCTTCATCATATTGTCCGTTTTGTAATTTTGTTTTAACAAAGATATTAAAAGTTTGTTCTCTTAGGGATTTTCTGCCAACTGGTGGAATCATCGACATTTCCAGCATCACGCAAAACCCAACATCTTCAGAAAAGACCCTGATGTCAACATGTTGAACTTCTTTGTAATTGGTGCCACTCAACCGGTGGAGGTTAGTAGCACGATGACGTTTCTTTTGTCTTGTATCAGTTGTTTGAATCCAGTAATGGTCCAGTATTTAATCTGCTGGTTACCTGTGTGTTAACTGTGTGTTCCTCTGTTACAGTACGGTATAAAAAAGATCAAACGTATGCCCTATCATCACCAACACCAGTACTTCTTTCTTGGTACGTTTTTTCATTCGAGTCATTTAAAATGAACGAAACCATGAACGATTTACAGGAATGATTATCTGTTTCTCATTTAGTGGGACCGCCACTGCTCATTCCGGTTTATTTCCACATTCAGCAAATTCGCACCATGCTCTCCCGCCATGACTGGGTGGTAAGATCCTGTCTTTGGAGTAGTATAGCAATATTTACATCCATATACACTGTAAAAAATGACTGTAGAATTAACAGTAAGTACTTGGAAAAAGTTATACTTTGTAAAATAGCTTGTATTACAGGACAGTATTTACACAAGTGTTTATATATATTACAGCAATTTATTGTTTTTAAACAAAACCAACAATTAATTGTCCCCTAACATTATCTGTATGTGTTCTAATCAAATTACAGAGGTCAACTATAGCAGCTGGAGTTTCCAGTAATTAGCTGTCAATAACTAGTACAAGTTACAGTTTGTTTTAGTTTTTTACATTTTGTTGTGAAGTGTCATGAATGAAGTCAGGCATGCTGTTAATTACTGCTGCCGATCCAAAATTCAACCCCCAGAGTAAAGACAAACATGAGAACTCCCTGAGTTGTTCTTCTTCTGCAACGCCCCCACTTCTTTGGCTGACCAATTATTCAGTCTTGCTGCCACTGCTTAGGTTAATGCTAATGAAAAATCTGAAATGATAAATCAGATTAAAATTAATTAAAATAAAAAAACTGCAGGTTGTGCTAGATAAGATACAAAAAATTATCAAATCAATGAATCAAAAGCAAAAAACAGTATAAAACAAAACATTGTGTTTAGCATATCACAGGCCCAGCCTACAATCAGGCAACAGATGCAAACAAAAAGCGGTGACACACATAGAAGACACAGACGAAGATGTCTGGTGATAAGAGCTGACGCCGGTGTCGAGGTGCTGTAAACATGACTATGTGATCACCACAGTGGAGTTAATACGTCACTTCCTGCCTCAGCCGGCTCAACCTTTCGTCTGAATAATGTGAAGGATTTGTTGCTGTTGTGCAGAGAACCTCCCGCTAAATTGTGCATGTGTGAATGGCAAACTGCAGGAAAAGTCAGGGCCAAATTCTCTGGACTTTACCCACAGGTCCTGTCTGAAAATGGCACAGGATAATTATCAGGCGCCCAAATAAACCAATGTTCTACCCAATGAGTGGACTTTGTAGTATCATGTTGTGCATCTTCCCACTTCTATTGGCTGAGCAACTATGCGGCCATGGGGCCACTGGTTGGGTTGATGCCAACGAAACACAGAGTTTTCCAACAACTGCACCTTGAAAAGACAAACATAGCCCAAAACACACAAAATTATCATTTTTAGTATTCTCAGTAAGATTCAACAGATTCAGTGAACTTTGCTGAAAACCACCTAGTGCGTCATCTGGACTTTAACAATTTTTTACTGTCATTTTTATGGCTATAATTATCATTTATATCCATGATGCATTGTGATATACATTTAAACTTTCTAAAACAACAGAACAATAAGTTCTTGTAAAATGTCACTGTAGAAGCTACATCCATTTTTTACAGTGTATTTAAGGGGCTAAATGTAGGGTTTTTAAACAATGTTGAAAATAATTAAATTGTTGAATACTTCACTAAAACACTGCAGATGGAAAATGACATGTGTAAGGAAAGAGTTAAGTTGTCATGATTTAATGTAAATGATTTTATATAAATCATAATACAATGTTTTCCCTGTGAAGGATCTGGTTTGGTGCATGTCGTACTATCTACGCTACTTCTGCTGTTACATTCCCCTGTACGGCCTGTTTGGCTCAATGGCGCTCATCAGCTTTGTCAGGTAAAAGATCTGGAAGGATACAACTTGAAACTTTTGAGAACCACTGTCTGTGATGTTTTTAACGTGATTAGTGAAAGAGTGAATTACTCAATTTAAACTTTTGTCTCCAATGCTTACACACTGTTTGTTAAATAAGCCTTGAGTTACCAAAATGTGATTGGAAGTGTTACCCTATAAATATCAGTTACAATAAAACAACAGGAAACACTAGTCTCAACACATTCCATATACTTAAAATATACTGTATGCCTTTCAAAATCTAACATAATTATCTTTTCTTTACACGGAACCACACACACACCCTATTTAAATATATATATATGAGGTGATAGACAGTTTTACATCATGTCTTAAACACATGCTGTAACAGATCATTCAGTGACTGGATTATTGTAAATGATTAAGGTGTCTGGAGAGTCACTGGTTCGTGTGGGTGACTCAGATGAATCATCTGCCCATGGACATTGACCATGAGAGGCACCAGGACTGGTTAACAATGCAGGTATCTGGTTTATTTATGACTCCTCTAACTGCTGTGAAATTTGTACTGTTTTGTCTCATCTGCATTTCACCTTCACCTGCTATTCTTCCTCAGCTACAAGCCACCTGCAATATTGAGCAGTCCGCCTTCAACGACTGGTCCACAGGACACCTCAACTTTCAGATCGAGCATCAGTGAGTCAAATCGCTGAGAAGTGATGTCTTTATTAAAAACACAGATCTTCTAAAGTGCATTGTCAGCTTTACTGTGCTCACTAACATTAGATTAGAAACCATTCTACAGTAACACTAAAGCAGGGGTCACCAACACGGTGCCCGCGGGCACCAGGTAGCCCCCGAGGACCAAATGAGTCGCCCGCAGGCCTGTTCTAAAAATAACACAACTCACCAGTGAGCTGCGTCTAAAATTTGATATGCGTTTCTAATTAAATTTAATTATTTATTTTTTATACTGTCAAATGTGTTGAATATTGATATTATCTGTTTCCCACCTTGTTAAGTCATTGTTGATAATTAATGTGAGAAATCATTAACATGATCAATGTCTTCATATAGATGAGTATCATTTATCATTAATAATAATATATAACTAAAGGCAAACTGAGCAAATTTGTTATTTCAGAAGAGTGTATCAAACTGGTAGCCCTTCGTATGACTCAGTACCCATGAAGTAGCTCTCAGTTTCAGTTTGGTGACCCCTGCACTAAAGCATGAAGGTCCTATTAAACATCTCTGGAAGCTCCTGCTGCTTAAAGGGATAGTTCACACAAAAATGAAAATTCACTCATCTACTCACCACTATGCCGATGGATGTCAGGTGTTTGAGTCCACAAAACACTTTCGTAGTGAAACCCACTGAAGAAAACTTTGAACTTGAACTAGTGCAGAAAATATGCATGAAATCATTTAATTGCTTTCCTCAGTGCAAACATTGTATAGGGTGAGGTGAATTCAGCTCCAACATGCAACTTCACCACTAGATGATGCAAAGTTCTACACACTGAACATTTAAAGCTAATTAAAGTCCCTGAAAACGTGATCATTGTCTTTTGGATCACTGTATTTTCATTCAAGGGTGACTTGTTGTAATGTAAATGTTCACTCTTTGTGAAAAGCCTTCTGAAGTTCACTTTTACTGTATTTGTACGTCTTTGTGATACAGAACAAATATTTCAGCTATTGCCTTCCTCTGCATGCATGCTTCAATACAAAAGACCAAACAAGAATTCTGATGACCTCGTACTTTGACATCTGTACTAGTGTAACAACCTTCATTATAGTGAAGTGCGTTCAAACAAAGTGGGATACAACATAGTCACATTCTGTTTCTTTTGTCTCTGAAGTCTGTTTCCCACGATGCCACGCCACAACTACCACCTGGTAGCTGAGCGGGTCCGTGCCCTCTGTGTGAAGTATGGGATTCCTTACCAGGTGAAAACTATGTGTCAAGGCCTCTGGGATGTCTTCAGGTATGTCCAAGGGAGTTACAAGTGTCTTCAGTCTGACAAGGCTCCTAACAGAGAGATACATACTTTGTCGCAGAATGTAGCAAAACTATGCGTAAATCTTATGATCAATTGTTCCACCAAATAAATATTCCTTCAACGCTCCTAGATTTACTGTGGAACATGGAAGAGTGATGAGCCAACTGCCTGATCCGTGACTTTTTATTAACCGATGTTTTCTCATATTTTTGTAGGTCACTGAAAAACTCAGGAGACCTCTGGCTCGATGCATATCTCCATAAATGAGAAATGCTGTTCTCCACACTGCACCGAAAAGGAATACAGTTTTCTCCTCTTCTGCATCATGAATTGATTGTATCTGTTTGGTTTTATGATCCAGTGAAGTGTGGGAATGTTTTCTTTCCATTGGTGTAACAGTTAAGTCTTGGTTTCACATTTCACATTCTGTGCAGAATTTATATAAGCGTTCATACTTTTCATCTCACAGTTACACTATCATTCAGCAACAGTTTCGTGCTGTTTAAAATACAATAATGGAAGCTGGTTGTGGGTTATGTATACAGATGTTTTTTTCTTCTTTTATCTATAATGTGATACTGTTGACAATTCTTCAGCTGCAACTCTTTTCTTATCTTCTGATACAACAATAAAGAAACTGTGTTTATCGTCTCCCCGCCTCCGCCACCATTATGTCCAAAAACACATCAATTATGCACAAAAAAGATGTGATATGAAATATTTACCAGGTTTTATTTTAATTATGTTCTTTTTAAACACTGTTTCCCGAAATATTTACAACCCTGTTGAATCTTCATTTAATTAATAGCAGAGCAACGTGTTCTCTTGCGTATGCTCTTAAGCATTTCTGTGTCAATGCAGTTTACGCTGCAAAAAGCAACATTAGTGTGACAGCATTTCATTATTACTGACAATGACTTCATGCAGGATGATCTCTGGTACAAGCTTGCAGGGACATCTGAATTCTGATTATAAACAGCAAGACTATTTACATTAATACCGACTGCTGGTTGTCAGTTACCAACCACAAAGAGGACTTCTGCTATCTGCATGGAAAACATATTATTTTCTATAGCTGTAAACAGTGATATGAAAATAGTTGGCTATATATCAGAATATGTGTCACATAGTCTGGCACAGATTTAGAAACTCAATCACTAAGATCTACATATTTACCACGTCATTTAGTAAACAACAATATTGACACTGAGCATAAACATCCACAAACACTGCTCATACAAATATGCATATTACATGCACACGCACACACACAAGCCGAACTGTACATGGTTTCTTTCATACACAAGCATCTCTTTAACGACAAAATCTGACGAGTTGATTAAAACAAAAAGCAACATAATTAGATAAGAAAACAATGGAGTACATACACATTTGCATGATACAAAATAAATATAGATTTTTTTTTTTTTGTACAACATTACTGTCTTTCACGATTGATTAAAGAAGCTGCTGCAGTTAGGAAGTTGTGAGGGAGAAGAAGGGTCCGGGTCGGTGGTGCTGTTCGACAGGTTCAGTCTGTGCTGCCGGAGTCGATCCTCTCCTGCCGCCGCTTCATGATCTCCAGCAGCTCTGAGTCTCCCCCGCTCTTCTGTAAAGGAAATACAAGAAGATATATAGAAGAGAGTACGTCTGTTAAGCAAAATGTCATATTCACTTTCAAAATGCAGATGACGGATTATTCTGTTACAAAGTGTTGGATACAAGAAACTTAATTAAGTGATTTAAGCCCCATCAAAAACAACACTATTTGGACATACATTTGCTTTATTATGGCAAGAGACAAGTTCATGAGTGAATTTAAGTAAAACAAAAAGATTTAAGGTTCTTCGGATTAAAGGATATTGATCGTAAAACAAAATGTATCTGAATAATTTTACTTTGATAAGTAGTTTTATGTCAAAATGTAAAGGTCCAGTGTTTAAGATTTAGGGGATCTATCAGCAGAAATTTAATGAAATGAATTTAACATTGATAAATATATTTTCATTCATGTTCATCTGAAACTAAGGAGCTTTGTTCTTTTACCTTAGAATGAGCTTTTTATATTTTCTATATATCAGAGGTGGTTCCTTTGTAACAGAGTCCACCATGTGGTTGCACCACCATGTTTCTCCAGTAGCTCAGAATGGACAAACCAAACACTGGCTCTAAAGAGGACCATGTGCATTTTAAAATGTACCTAAATACCATAGATTCTCCTACATGCATGGAAGGGAGGATAGAGGCCTTCTTCACATTAGATGCCATTAAATTTGACACATTGATCCTTTGAATGTAAAAAGACTGACAAAGTCTTAATCTCAGCATGTTAAAAAAGGGGATGCACCTGTTAAATTACCTGGTCAGCTGTATATCACTGTATGGTTAACCTCAAGTGCAGAAGAGGATATGTAATGTTCATCTACAGTATTTGGTCAGTTAACATATGTTACACAAGTTCACAAGTCTCTACAAGGACAAGGATCTAAGTGCAAAAACAACACAGATATGTAAGTACACTGTTGTTATTCCTAAAACCAACATTAGGAGAAAACCAGGTGTAAACGAAAACATGTTTTTCTAAACCAATAATAATGTGTGAATAATGTATTGTCACTCAGAAATGATGAAGTCCTATTTACTCATCATTTTAGTGTAAGTAAATTCTAATTAAAAAGTTTGAAGAAATCAGCAAATTATAATAAAGTAAGTAATCTAAAATCAATTCCAAACATCAAAGTTATTAATTCATCTATTTTATCAAATAAATCAACCAAAGAATTAAACAGTTTACTTAATAAATAATTATGCCTCATTAGTTCGGACCTGATAACTGTGTGTATCCACCCACTTTTGGAACAACACCTGTATTAATCATAGAGTGACTCAATAGGAGACAGCTAACACCAACGGTTTTAATTCCTTGTCTTAACATGCCCAGAGTAACACTGTGCATTAAGACTGGGGAAGGCTTTCAACGTTTTGAAATGTTTTGATTTTTGGGTCTGATTCTCCATCTAACCATGAATACAGCCATGTGAGAAGTGTGCACGCAGCCACAGACACATGTGTGACTGACCTCCTGCTGTGATTTATCTACATTGACGAGGTTATAGACACGACTGCCTTCGTCTCCACACACCGTCCTCAGTTCATTTTTGTTGAGGGAGAACAGTTGGGCTCCAGTCAGGATCCCAAGACATTCAACCGTCCTGCAGACGAGACAGTCAGACAACTTATTCACATTCACTTATCACAGTTTTACAGTCGTGGGTGCACAATTGGCATTTCATAGCAGGAATAGCACAGGAAAAGTCAGTAACATTTAGAATGAACAGAGTCTTTCTGGGGTTTTCCAGCATGTGCATGTTGACACAGCTGAAAACAACCAGGAAGATGTGACATGCTGTTACTCTAAATAATGAGTTTTTTTATCGGCAACCGATTACACACACATTACACTCAGAATCATTAATGGAGGCACTCGACAAAAAGTTATGGAGCACCACAGTCATCAGGACTCTGCTGATCATAAATCTCTGGACAAAATGTATGTGGGATAGTTCGGTCCAAAAAAAAGCAGCAGAGAGCTGACTGACACTATCATCCCAACAACAGCAACTGCTGTATATATTATTGACAGTACATAAACAAGGGTGGAAACGGTGCAAATAAATTTCAGTCAGAACTGAAAAAGCAAATTAACATGCAGTGTTTCTGCCCTCTCTGGTTTTGCCTGTTTACTGCGTTGCAACTGCGTCCACACTCAACAATGATGTCACAGGGTCTGGGAGTACACCAGTACATCACTGCGACAGGGTGAGAGGCCAGCTGCAGCAAAAACATGCTGCTAGGTTACTCTTGAAGGTGTGTTTTGATTTGCTGGATCGATGAGTTTCACGGGAGACTTACGATGATGACAATCCTTTCGTGCTGAGCCATGTGGTCACCTGCTCTGGGGTTGAGACAAATGTGAGCGGCACGCAATTGCCAGATGGTCGCTCCACACGGATCTTCCTGACGGGCGGGGTTTTGTTTTCAGTGATTTTCTTCAACAACTCATTGTTGACTTTATCCACTGCAGCAAAGAATCAGGATGAAAGCAAACATCAACAAATCTGTAGTTACTAAATCTTTGTTTGCTTTGTTGTGTTCACTCACTTTTGTCTTTGGGTATACCGTTGCTGAAACCGTTTCCATGGCCCATAGAACCAGGAGGTGACTTCCTGTAATCCTGCTGCACACACACACACATACACATACACATACACACACACACACACACACACACACACATACACACACAAAGTTCATGAGAAACCTCAGCTGGTATTATTCCAAAGACAGGTGTGTCTTTTTATCATGTTCTGGCTGATTTTTTGCTAAGGAGCCAAAACCAAAATACGTGTGTGAAAGTATTTCACACCCGGAAGAGTAGCTGCATGCAGTACCTGCTGCAGGGCATTAGTGAAACTTTTTGCATCTCTAGGAATTCAGGTTTTCAGTGAGCTGCGGTGCAGGGTCCCAACCAGCAGAGGATTTGTACAGAGAGCTGCACTGATCTCACACAATACAACTCTACTGTGATAAACTATTGTAAATCAATAAAAGTCACATGTATATATCATTATTTGTTATTCATCTAGGGCAATAATCATGATCCTCATTATATATGTTTTATCTATCTAAGTGCCCTAATCATCTTTTGGATCACCTTTAATTCCAAATCTGCAAAAACAAAAGCAGTGATACGAAAACTTTGACCTCTTCTTTCAGTTACTTATTGCCTTTATTTACCAGGATTCATTCCTGACAACATGCTAGATTTAGTGGTGCCAAGGTAAGATAAGTGTAGGTTAAGTGAGTGAAAGTGATACTGACAAATATATAAGGTAAAAATGTGAAACATTCTTTGGCTGCATTGCATTCTGGTCTACCTTTCTACCTGCCTTTCTGTCACTCAAGGACACTCTGTGTGTGTGAACCAGTTCTTTCTCTCATGCAAGACCTTAACTTTCACTCTTTAGTCTTTGTACCGGTCACTTGCAATCTGTTTCTTGTGAAATAAGCTTTGTGTGTGCGGTTGTATGTGCCCCAACACTTATCTACACTCCTGCAGTGATATGCTGGGCGCTGGCACTACCAAGTGAGTTAGCAGATACCCCTAAATATTTAGTTATAGGCGTGTTAATCATTGAAATGCGAATACAGCACAGATAAACAAAAGACACAGCAGCTCACCTGGCTGTAGCCGCCTTCTGGCTCCTCTATCTTCACAACATCCAGTATGTTAAATGGAACGTAGCCAGCCTGGCCGCTGCGATTCCGTAGTTTCCACCACTGTCTGTCATCCTCTATCACCTGTGGGGAACATTTTGTCTTATGACGTGGATACAGTGGAAATTGCTTCATTGCCTTTCAGTGACTGAACCTATATCAACATTTGTTCAGACAAAGCCAACATGTTGAACTGTCTCTGGTTGGCATCATCCACGCCTAACACTTCATATGAAGGTTGGGAAAATAAGAAAGAGTTCTTACCTCGAGGATTTCGTCCTGCAGCACTGACAGCTCGTTGGCATTCCGTGCTACAAAGTGGTAGCGAATTTTGGCATATTTACGG